TTCCTTCATATCAGGTGTGTTGGAGCAGAGAAACAAGTAAAACATGCAGGGCTGCGGCCCTCCAGGACCAGGATTGCCCACCCCTGTTGTAGCTACATTGTGACCATCAACACATGTAGTATTATAATACTAAACTAAATATTCCAACATACGCTGGTAGTTAGGAATAAAGCCAACATGATCCTGTTTACAGAATGTGTCAGAGGGGCTTCCTGCACCACCCACTCCCCTCAGGGAGGAGGCTGCAGAACATCCAGAGCACCAGACTGCTCCCTGACGCCGTTAGGCTGCAGAACTCTAGAGGGGATCTGCTGGATCTACTCTTATTTATTTTATTAATAGTGCTATCTGTCGCTGTGCCAAAATCAGGGCCCGAGTAACAAAAATCTTTCTCCAGCACCCACGTGACGTGAATGAGAATCATGTTTCCTTTAATCTTTGATGTATTTTTGAAACCAGTCTGCTCACTGGAAATGTGGGCCTTTAAGCCCCGTCTACTTCCTGAAACACAATCATGGTGCTACACGAGCTTTTATTAAAGCAGAAAATAAATATTTAATTGCTAAAAGTTAMTATTTGAACACAGCAGCGAGCTAAGAACTACAAAAATCAACAAGCATCAATGCTAAAAATACAGTCTACCAGTTCCCAAAGTTGGGGTCAAGACCAGTGAGTCCAGAAACATCTAGGTGGGGTCTTATTGTCAGAATTAATTACATTTAAAAATTACTACTGGCATGTTTTTTTTGCCTTAGTTGTTACAAATGTCATTGTGCTTAAAAATTATATTAAATTAGCATATTTAATTTAACTATGCTTTTGTTTGTTTAATTTGATAACAATGTTTGTAACCCAAAAGAAGTTGGGGCCACAAGTCTCTGCTGTTATTTTGTGGGTTAAAAGCTAACAAGTTTAGGAAACAACACGTCTCATTCTGAAAAATATATTTTACTGTATGTGATTATTAATTAAATAAAATCACCAGTATAAAGGTATTACTGTTATAGCTGCTCTAAATGTAACAGAATTCAACTTCTTAATWGACAGAAACAGCAATAAAATCTGTGATTTTTCACTAAAGTAATGATTTTAAAAGCAAAAGCAGAATAAACAGAGTAAGTTTCATAAACTATATAACTGTAAAAAACTACTTTATTGTTCTGTTACTTGACCAGCTAAATATTATTCCTAAAATCGTTTTAAAACATTGAAATTTACTTAAAGTTATTATAAAAGCTGTTAAACTACAAGTCCCGCCTGTCCACGGAAGTCATTTGATCCGGTTTGTGTTTGCAGCTCCTCCCTCTTTCACAAACCAGCTCTGGTGATGTAAATCTATGGTTCTAATCTATGGTTTTAATAGAAACAACACACACATGTCCGATATAACCGGCTGTCCCACCGGAGAGTTTGTATTTCAAATCAATATGCGAAGGATTTGAAGCYAATAAAAGCAAACCTAAATCGCGAAGAAACGAGTACCGAGTGTCCGTACGCCTCTCCTCCTCCTGCTGCCGTGAGGAAAAGCGGCGGAAAAGGTCATAAGCGATGTTAAAACGTCAACTACTTGTTTATTCTGGTTTTATTTAATCAATTGAAACAAACAAACCTGTTCAGGGTGGAATGAAATAGGTTTCCAGTTGTACGTCGAGCCGTCGATTGGAATCTGTTGTTGASGGGGAAGTGCTTGTTGGTCAACGCCCACTTTCACTGATCTGTTCACATCCGCTGTTTGTCGCCATCTAGCGGTGGGTKTAGGAACTGCACATTTATCAACATGATTCAACATTCAACGTRTGAAATGAAATCATACCAAGATGTCTTACACTTGTCTAACASTGAGCAGGTCCACATTTCCCTTCAAAACTGTGTTTTATTTGTTTGACCAGATCTCATACTCAGTATCAAGTACCAGRATGTYTTGTTGTTGTTTGGTCTTGCTTCACTTTGCTTCCTCTTGGTAACATCAGACTTTTATCTGACCCAAGCACATCTAACATGATACAGTGTTTCTACAATCCTCTGCAAAATATAGAGTTTCAATTTCAAATCAAGTCACTCCTTTGCYACTTTAGCTGTTAACTATCYTTTTGATACTTTTAGCTTTAGACACTATTTTTTTTACCAATAATTGCTATGYATTTTAGGTGTTCTTTCACAAAATYTAGCTTTTATTGAGMATTATGCTACAAGCTTTTAATTATTTGCACCTTTTAGATTTATTCTACTATTTTGCTATGTTCAAGAATTTTGCTGCTTTAGGCTTTTAGCTATCCTAATGCAATATTTAGTTTTAAGCTATGTACTAATAATATTTAATATCAGTAAATTAATCAACTATTTGCTTTTTATACAGTCCATAATGTGATCCTCAAGATCAGAGGAGCCCAAAGTGGGGCCCGCGGGCCAAATTTGGCCCGCCAAGCCATTTGATTTGGCCCACCAACAGTTGCCAAATTTACAAGGTTGTAACCTGTTATCCTATGTGACAGTATTTCCACTGGTCAAATGACTATGCATAAAAGGGCTGTAGTGAAGGTAGTTTTCTTTCATGGTGCTGACTTTATCTTTGATTTATTAGGATTAAACATGAAACATGAAATGACAAGAAATATTTAGATCAGATTTAACCCCACATGTAGATTTTCACACTTTATAAGGCCGCAAAAACTCATATTTTACCTATTTATGATATGTTCCATGAGCCTTTGCTACTTGAGCGTATATCAGACTTTCGCCAAGTGCACAAACTAAAACAAAAGAGGGCCATTGCATAGCTTGATTGTTAAAAATAAAGGACTTTACTTAAAAAAAATTGTATTTCATGTATTACTGTATATTACTGCACTTGGCCCGCAGCCGTGGATAGATTTTCATTTTGGCCCCCTCGGGGAAAATGTTTGGGCACCCCTGCTCAAGATTATTGTAAATTCATGGTCCAATGACAATAATGTACTTGAATTATTTTGAATTAAATATGAAGAATGATGTGCAAAGTTGTTAATTTCCACCATTCATCACTTTGATCAAAATGTTATATTTAGATAAGATTTTGGAAAATGGATATAAAAAAATGCAGCAGCAAATGTATTGGTATCCTAATGAGTGTTTTTATACTTTTAGAGCAGATTAGCTCCTGTTTTCCAAACAAAGCTGATGTGAACTGAAAGCACAAGACCTGCTAACCACTTCTGTGTGACTGAAGTCTGCTATGATTTTGTTTCAAAGCAGTTTATTTAAATGCTGTCAAATCAGTTTTATGTGGCTAAATCATGCTGACAGGTCAAAGAGGAAGGTGAGGAATCTGCAACAACAGATGTGAAAATGTWTCCATGTCTGTTTGTGTCCATTTGTCTCGTTAGCCAGTGGTGGGATGTAACTAAGTACAAGTACTTTCTTGCTGTACTTAAGTACGTTTTTCATGTATCTGTACTTAAGTAGATTTCATCATGGGTACTTTTTGACTTTTACTCCACTACATTTTACATTAAGTATCTGTACTTTCTACTCCGCTACGTTTCTGTAATGCATAGAATTACAAATTACATTCATGACATGTCACTTTTTTTTCGTGGTTTGTTTATTTTTTATTTTTTAGTTTGAATGTAATCAGTGGTGAGACAGGAAACTGCTGTAATTGGTCCATTGAAACACTGCAAACCAGGAAAGTACCATTAGACCCTCCTTCATAAAAAAGCAGAGCATCAGCATGCCCACAATGGTTTCCACCACGGAGGAAATGTGCCATTCATGGCCTTATTTAAAAGACTTATTCAAGTTAACTGGTTCAAAAAATGACTTGTTGAGATTTGATAAAGGACGTTGGTGGCAAATTTACATCTTCTGCAGCTGTTGTCACAATCTGTGATGATGCACAGAATCACAAGTCCAAGTGTGAACAGTGTCACAGAGGGTAAACACAAAAACATGCATTATCTGCAGCGTTGTTCATTAAAATGGCACCAGTGATGTATTAAAAATATACATACAGTAGACACACAACACTTCATGATATTAGGGAATACATTAAGCAAGTACTTTTACTTTTAATACTTTAAGTATTTTTAAAAGCAAGTACTTACTTACTTTTACTCAAGTAAAATGTTAATGTGGTACCTTTACTTTTACTAGAGTACATTTTTGTCTGTTTATCAGTACTTTTACTTAAGTACAGTGTTTGAGTACTTTCTCCACCACTGGCGTTAGCGAAATATCCTGTTAACCAGGAGCCTGATTTCAGTGGACACAGCTCGGCTGATAAATCAGCTAACATCTAATAGCCGAACAATTTTTAGCGTAGCGGATTAGCGGCCCGCTGGCCTTGATTTCATCCTCCACATATTCTCTGAGCCCTGACGCATCTCGCGAGATCTCACAAAAGTGGTTTGTGCATTACGTCATTCTTTTACAAGCAAACAACTTTACAATAAATTTCCTGCCATCCGTTTCCTCATCACAAAGCTCATTAATCASGGATGACTCTAAAACAGCTGTAATGCATGTTTTTCTGGACACCAGCTGCTAAACTTCAGCTCAGTCTCCTGATTTCCACGGCCTTGCTCTGCAGCCATGTCACGCCCCCTCCCACTCGTTCCTCCCCCCTCCCCCTCAGTCCTCCTCATCCAATCCCCGCGCGCTGCAGCTTGTTCTGGGTGTGGTCTCGCACCAATCCGGGGGTCCCCCCGCGCTGGAAACGCTCCAGCCTTATAAATCCATTGTCCGGTCTCATAAGGCTCGGTTCGGCTCGCTCATCCACGCATCTCGTTTTCCGCTCTTCTCTTGTCAAACTTTCGCGTCCATCATGAGGGAGATCGTGCACATCCAGGCCGGCCAGTGCGGCAACCAGATAGGTGCCAAGGTAGGGTCATAAAAAGATTATTTTCTTTATGTTATTGGGSTGGATATGACTTATTTCTTTAACATGATTAATCCTTTAAAAACGTCCACAGTGATTATTATATTTATCTGAAAACAATGAYTGGGTTTTGGCTGCACATATTATAAATATTATCCAAAATAAAACACATGGGGTTGATTAGAAGAAGGGACCACCCTGTCTTTGTGCTTCTTCGAGTGAACCTTGTGCACTGCAGTAACTGGTAGGTGTGTGAGCAGCAGGGAAATAACGGGACCGGCTTTGTTCACCCAGCAACGGGTGTGTC